GTAACAAAACAATGCACATGTACTACATCCGTACTTCATCTTCTTGGTGTCTATATATATGCATTTATGGAAAAACATCACACGACCGACAACACAATGACCAGATACTATATTTAACGTAAATTTACTACAACTCAAGAGACATGACTTAGCCATTATTGTGGACAATCTTGATGCATTTTACGCTCTTTGGAACGTGTATCACAAGTTCATCATCAAGGGTGTCACGTTTTTCTGTTATAGGAGCTACATGTACTTTCGTATTAGCACAGGATTGTTCGTTCTCCTTATTTTCTTCAACTTTCAATTCACTGAGCGGTAAAGGTGGTTGCAAAGATTTGCTTATCCTATCATTCATTTCTACACTCTGTCTTTTGTAAGTTTCGACAGCATTGTTTCTGTGGCCACTTCTTGATGTTACCGCGGCATTGTCAAAACCCTTGTCATACAAGATTGTCACACAAGTAACCTTCCCAGAGTGGTTTGAGATGTTACGGTCAGTGTGGTCTATACTTGCTAAATCAAACATTGTTTTTATATATGTTGAAAGTTTGTTAACACCAAAAACTAGTGCCAAGAACTTTGGTTTTCCAGAGGTGTTTAATCCTAGTTTTCCAATAGGTCTTCGGTAGAATGGGCCTGTTTTCGGGATGAGAGAAAGATATGTAGAAAACAAACCTACAATATCCCGAGGATTATTTTTGTCTTCCCACTGTATTACTTTTTTTGGTTCTATCTTTGTATGAAAAAAACCTCCCTGATTATTTTTACTGATACGGCCATAGAATGTAAGGCATTTTTTCTTTTGAACAGAATCCGTTACTACTTCAAATTGTGTAGCATCAAGATCACGATGCTCATCCATGCCACGAAAACCAAACAGTTTACAGTTATAATAAAATACGCCATAGCTTAAGCCCTCTGCAGAATCTAAACTTATTACTCCTTTACACCATAAAGTGTCTTCATCCTGTGGTGAAATGGCATCTGCTCTTTTTTTGTGAATACCTGTATGAAATAAATGTGTTTACAGAGAATTTGGGTATAGGTAAATGAAACAGCAACCAAACAACAAAATTCAAAAAGTCACCTGTGGGGGAACATACTTTCTACAATAATAGACATGCATACACATAATATTCTCTAAAGGCATAAAAAGAATCATGGGTGATTTTAGCTTTTGTAAAACAACTTTTATCCTTGTTTCAGGATGATTCATTTTACGGTAAATATTAAAAGGAAAATGTATTGCTTAATCATCATCAGCAGTAGGTATGTAGGTATGCAAAGTGTAAAATTGGTCTTTTAAATAACACGCGCGAATCAGATAAACATAACCTGTCTATGAGACATAAACCCAACGACTCAAAAAGGTCAACATACCTATTGATACGTATACATGTAGTATTAGGTTAAATAGATGTGGAATAAAAGATTGATTGATTGATTGTGAATTGTTTATCTTTCAGTGGCAAATAGTTCACGCATATTCCAGACGATGGTATAATAAGAAAACGCCTTAATGATGAATAATTTAACTAGTCTAAAGTGGCACAAAACAAAGGATTGATTTAAGTTTTAATGATTTAAAAAAAAAACGATTTGGGAATATGTAGTTCTATCAACTGTTCAAATTGGAATACTGATTCCTTGCCTATCTGATGTGATTTCCTAAAATATTACGAATTATACACTTTATGATATAGATGAACATACCTAGACCAGCAGCTGTTACTTCTTTCATTCTGGTGTCAAGAGCCTTCTGGAATGTTGGGAAATCCACGGAGTTTTTCTGTAGCAAATTAATTTCAGATCTTTTCATCTCTCGCAGATGTCTTTGAATTCCGTCGGAAATGTTCAAAAGGGTGTTAGGTGGGTAAGGTGTCCCGTCTTTTCGTCGAGTTTCCATGATAAATCTGGATAACCAGAAGTCCAATTCTTTTATAGTAGCTGTTTCTGGGTCAACAGGCACACAAGTAAACTCCTCAAACCCAGTCATTGGATTGCAGTTTCTGTTTTCCGCCCAACCTTTCCACACATTCATAGACCAGCTTGTTGATTGTTTTGTTTTTGTTGGGATTATGTCACTAATTCTTTGTTCTAGTTCCTCTGATAGAACTGGTTCTGCAAATCGACTTGGAGCAGCAGCATTACGGTTTGAAAATACCAATTTTTGTGTTTGGATTGCATATAAATCACTTAATTCCCAATCTGTATCTGTACTATTTAACAACTCAAAATCTGGCATATCGGTGTTATTCATCATGATTCAAATTGAAATGACACGGAGCTACGATATAAATACTGAGTAGATTTTTACAAAAACAAAACAACTCTCTTAAATTTACTAATATCTAGTCACACTTACCTTGTTAGATGATTACTTTGTACTGACCATATGATCAACTGACCATCAATTACACCAATTTAACAATCACCCAAGTTGTGAATATGTGCTAAATTGGATAGTGTATGGAAAGGTATATACTATGAAATTAAGACCTCGGGGCAAGCCCCTCGCTCTAATTTTCATAGTATATACCTTTCCATACACTAAACGAGACATAATCAGTACTTGATTGTTAAGTAGTGAACACAAATCAACGTAATCATCGTTGATTATCTTGTCCGTAATTTGTGCTGATAGCGTGAAACAAGATAGTTTGTTATACTTTTATTCGGTGTTACCCCAAACCATGTTATATTTGAAGCAAATAAAATAAATGCAAACTCCATATATAAGGCTGGTTCTTGCTCTTACATATGATTATTCGCTCTCTGATAATTCTGAACCCTCACCAGATTCACAGCTTGAACAATATCATGCCGTAGTTATGGAACTAGATGTTCTATAACGGAATATGTGACCCTTTTTAATTGGTCCTCTTGATAGTCGTGTGTTGGCTGGATGGACTCTTTGATATATCACCGTTTAGTATTAGTGAGGGACGAAAATGTGTATCCCTGACCTTCTAAGCCTCTATTTCGTTGCCTGTGTAGCTGTCTTTGACATGTCGACGTGCTGTCGACCCTCGTCCTTCTGAGTCTTCCAGTATATGCTCTTTCCAATTGCTTCGATATCCTCGCAATCTTCCAAATATTGTAGTGTAAATTTAATTCTCTCTGTTCGACATACCAAATAGCAAATTTAATTGCGATTATGCAACATTATCAAGTATGTTAATTAAATACAAAATACTGTGTATCATCACATAGTAAATTGGATACAAGGCTTATAATCTCCTGCGCCAAACGCATTGGTTGTCGCTTACTTCATGAATATAAGAATATGAAAACAATGTCATTATTACATGGAATCGTGAGCCACCAGGAGATAAACCAATCCTGGCATGAACCACGTGGTAATAAGAAATTTGCATCCGGCTTTTATTTGTCAAAAAGATTCTTGTGCATTTCTCTCCTTTTGTTGACAGGCTTAAATCAAGTGAAATTAAATCAAAATATTGTCGAAAATATAGTTTATAAAATATATCTTTCATAAAGGCATCAAATATACCACATATAAAAATAAGAAGATGTGGTATGATTGCCAATGAGACAACTCTCCACAAGAGACCAAATGACACAGAAATTTACAACTATAGGTCACCGTACGGCCTTCACCAATGAGCAAAGCCCATACCGCATGTATATGTATGCAGCAAATCTTCACAGGATGTTGACCACATGGAAGATAGGATACGTGCAAACATTTACTAACATCCGAGAAAATTGAAATTGTTTTATAAAAAAGATTAATTTATATACGTAATATTGTTTTTCTTTACATCCAATGGCAATTGAAGTAATTCCTATTTATATAAGTATACTGCGCTTAGATAAAAATTTATGCTGTCATTTACTTAGGATGTTTAAGTTGAAAAGGCAGCGTGAAGTTAATTTTTCTGTGACGTTTATAGCTACTGTTTGCTAGTATGTAGATGTGGATCCAGGATTTTGAAACTATACACGAGCTGCGTCGGATAGAATTCGACCTTATGCAAGTGCATGTATACATGTACATGTATAAGACTTTGAATGATTTTGGAACATTCAAATACGGAATAAATAATAAATTTGGTCTGTTTTGTAGGATACTTATATCAACTCAATTTTCAAACAGTTACAGACTTTGCATAGAAAAAATATATGAGAATATGATAAAATGATCTCTGATAATGAACTGTTTTGGTCAACGTATACTGCTTTATTTTGTATTATTCTTTTTTGTGTTTTGTGTTTTGAGTCGTGAACTCATTAAGAAAGTTAAATACGGAAAGAAGGATGACGGTATGGTTCTTATAATTGGGTTGCTCAATGACCTTCACCTTATTTATCTTCTATAAAGTGCAGATCTGAATGTACGAAAACAGACTGATACTTATCCCTAGTCAGCTTTAAAAGGTCTTGACATGACAAAATATGAGACAATTGACACAAGAAAAACAAAGGCTCTTTTAATGACAACACAGTAAACAAAAAACAAAAATGACAGACAGTTACTTAAGTTCATTACTTACAACTTAAAAAACGTTGTGTTGACCCTTCAATGGTGAAAAAAGTACCTCTTTCTAGTATTTCTTTGAATCGTGTATATCAATGTCATTACATCGTAATCAACCGGTATTTCTCCGAACTAAAGATATGAATAGGTTCTAAAGCTTGTGATATACATTTTGAAATAGGTCAACAAAGACCCTGAATAACCATACATAACATGCGTTATATTTTTTTCCTGAAATTGTTTCCTGAAATTATTCTTGACTGTTTAATTGTATTGTACATAAAGCGGAAAAAACAACAAATAACATTGACTTCAGATATTTATTGCTTTTTAAGTCAGTAGTCAAAATCCGAACAAATAAAAGAACATATTGGAATGTAAATTTTAGCATCTGAAAATAAATTAAAAAAAAAAAAAAAAAAAAAAAAAATTAATTCTGTCTCTCCCTACAGTCACGCAGAGTGAAACTGTCTTCGATTGTTCTGGTCTAAAAAGTATGGGGTCACCTAGTGGAATCTACACGATATACCCAGAGAATATTCCAAATGGAGTCAATGTGTATTGTGATATGGATATAGATGGAGGAGGCTGGATCGTAAGTTCCTTTTTGGGAATAAAAAATTCACAGAAAATAATCATGAAACCATTACAAATCACATTTTAAAGCACCATAAGAATTGTTTTCAGAAATAAAATGAATATAAGCAAAGCCGCCATGACAAAATCCGACTGTTACGTCACTTATTGAATTTTAAATTCCGTTAGTCATACATGCCATAAATGATGTCATAGGAGAGATTTCTATATTTTTGTTTAGCGAATTTAGGATACTTTTCAACATATATTGACTTATTTATCACCGAGCAAAACTATTGCCCAAAAAAGTTTTATATAATAGATGACGACAAAATATGCTTACTGTTTAATGTATTCTGAGCCATGGTTAGGCTCTTATTATTTGCAATCATCTTCGATCAATAGTCAGTAAATCGCGTAATTTCGTCCCTTTTTGTTTGGTTATAAAGCTCATCAAATTTCAAGTCCTTTGCTTTTAAATTTGTGGTTTGTGCGTTATTGATGAAGATATGTTAAAAAAAAAATTTAAACGCACCAAATCTAAAAGAATTTGATAAATGTTCGTCGGTGAAGAAGTATAACAAAAATACCGAACTCCAAAGCGAATTTAAAAACGGGAAGTCTATAATACCCAAACGCTATCAATCACCGCAACAAGTGAAAATCATCTGCCATATTCCTGACTTGATAAAGGGATTTCTGAAGAACCTACGATTTCTTATCGCTCCTGTTCTTCAATACTTGGAAGGACAATTTATACGACTACTTTGGATATACAGAAATGATAATTGTGAACGTACTTTGTTAGAATATGCTTTTATCTAATCCCTTTTCATGAGATCAAGAAATGATTTATTATGAATAATCATTTTCTTTTCTTTAGAGGAACAATTAAGATGTGATACATTGTTTACAAATATGTCATGTTATTTGACTTGAATATTTGTCCCTACAAAAACTGCTTTCATCAACATCTCAGTCAATATGAACCACGGCATTCCGTGTTACATCTGGATTATCCCTGAATGAAGGTACCATTTCGCCATTAACGTCTTGCTGATTTATATGTGAATGGCTAGTGATTTTCTCAGTAATTTTGAAAGGTTAAAGAAATTAAAAAAGTAATAAGAAACAATATTTGAAATAATTCAAAATTACACTTTCCTAACATAAAATAACAATTTTGTTTACAGGTTATTCAAAATAGATTTGACGGATCTGTTGACTTTTATCGAACTTGGAATGAATACAAAGATGGGTTTGGGGATCTGAACACAGAGTTCTGGTTAGGTGAGTAACTTATAGACAAACCTCATTGTGTTAAGAACCACAGCAAAGATAATATAATCAACGTGCTCGACTTTTTGATCAACCAGATATATGTTAAAAAAAGCGAAAGATACCAAAGAGGCATTCAAGCTCATAAGTCGAAAAAAACGGAATGGCTAAAAAAGAAAAAGTCCAACAGACAAACACAAAACACAACATAGAAAACTAAAGACTGAGCAACATAAACCCCACCAAAAACTGGGGGTGATCTCAGTTAAGTTTGAATGATTGATATTTCAATAGAGAGTCGGTATACCCATTGTGTATTTATTGTACACTCCTAATACTCACATGAAGCAAAATATAAATCTTCTCAAAGACAAAAACAAATCTTGCAAAGTTCTTTAGATTTACCTTCCGATATATTTATGATAACCGGTCACTAAATAACAAACATTTCAGTGAATGCTTTCACCTCAAATATACCTGTGAACTTGAGATTAAGGATTCTACATCATATCTTGATCTCTTTTTTACTATATCAAAACAAAGGAACGACTTCATACTATAATTTATGACAAACGCGATGACTTGCCAATTGTCAACTTCCCATTTCTCAGCAGTAACATAACGGTACAATTTGCCCCATCGCTAAACGTCTACATATCTTAAAAAACGATCCGCTTATTCAAGTTCCCACTTTAAGGGCTTCTTTAACAGGGATCTGCTCCTTATACAAAAACTAGTCCAACAGAGTTTTGAGGAAATACGACTGAAATATACACTACATAAGTTTTACAGTCGAGTTTTCATTGATCCGTATTGTTTGTCTGTGTCTCAACTCACTAACGACATGTTTTTACTATTGCCTAAACTTACAGAATTAGCGAACTACACCATTATATTCTAATAAGATGTTTGATATTAAAATGGGGGAAGATATTTCAAATTTTATTATTTGTTTGTTTTCTTTATTTAACTATGTGATGTTGAAAAAATCAGCAAATCAAAAATTTGACACGTAGACCACAAAATGGGGGCTTCTCGTATCTTATCTTATCATAGTTAATCTGTCTTAATCAATTTAAAAGCTCAGCCCATGAGTCGTGATATGGTATGGTGTGTTTTCAATATCTTACCCCTTTTAACGTTTTTTTTTTTTTTTTTTTTTTTTTTTTTCAAAATAACAGAACCAATGCTGACTTAGTGAAGATAACACTATAGAATCGGTTGTGTTTTATGAATGTGACATCTAGATGAGGGTCTGGATGGAGTTTACAGAATAGAGAATAATTAGCAAAATGTGCTCAATAAAGGGCTTGAAAAAAGAATAGAGATAAATAGGCCAAAAAGAATAGAGAATAATGTGATGATTATAGAAAGAATAGAGAAAAATGAGTTAAAAGATTAAAGAATAAAGAAATGATAGACCCCCTCCACATCCTCTAGTATGGTCTAATATGAATTATTCATTACAATTTCTTTCTTTTTCCATATCGATCCAAACTCTTACTTTCAAATTAAAGGCCCAAATTACTTGTTAATTCATGCAATTTCTTTATAGTAATATTTGGTCTTTCCACAGGCAACAGTTATATTCATTCGATAACCAAATCGGATACATATCTACTTCGTTTCGACCTTGAGGATGTAGCCGGTAATACACGATACGCTGTATATAACAATTTTATGATCAATGATGAAGAAGATGAATACAGACTAACAGTATCCGATTATTCCGGAGATTTAGGTTGGTATCAATCGGGTAATTCCGGAGATTTAGATTAGTAAAAATTCATGCTAGTTTTCATCGAAATATTATGATATTTGATTATTTTTATTCGGTTATTCTGGAGATTACGGTACGTTTTCTTCTGGCTATTCCGGAGATTTAAGTAATAAGTACCCATCGGGATATTCAAGATATTTAAGTAATAAGTATTCATCAAACTATTCCGGAGATTTAAGTAATGAATATTCATCGGGCTATTCCACAGATTTAAGTGATAAGTATTCATCGGGCTATGTTTGAGATTTGAGTAATAAGTATTCATCCGGCTATTTCAGATATTTAAGTAATAAATATTCATCAGGCTATTCCAGAGATTAAATTAATGAGTATTCATCGGGCTATTGCGGAGATTAAAGTAATGAGTATTCATCAGGCTATTACGGAGATTTAATGAGTATTCATCGGGCTATTGCGGAGATTTAAGTAATGAGTATTCATCAGGCTATTCCAGAGATTTAAGTAACGAGTATTCATCGGGCTATTGCGGAGATTTAAGTAATAAGTATTCATCATGCTATTCCAGAGATTTAAGTAACGAGTATTCATCGGGCTATTGCTGAGATTTAAGTAATAAGTATTCATCATGCTATTCCAGAGATTTACGTAATAAGTATTCATCGGGCTATTCCAGAGATTTAAGTAATAAGTATTCATCAGGCTATTCCAAAGATTAAAGTAATAAGTATTCATCAGGCTATTCCAGAGATTTAAGTAATGAGTATTCATCAGGCTATTCCAGAGATTTCAGTAATGAGTATCCATCGGGCTATTGCGGAGATTTAAGTAATAAGTATTCATCAGGCTATTCCAGAGATTTAAGTAATGAGTATTTATCAGGCTATTCCGGAGATTAAAGTAATGAGTATTTATCAGGCTATTCCAGAGATTTAAGTAATGAGTATTTATCAGGCTATTCCAGAGATTTAAGTAATGATTATTTATCAGGCTATTCCAGAGATTTAAGTAATGAGTATTTATCAGGCTATTCCAGAGATTTAAGTGATAAGTATTCATCGTGATATTCTGGAGATTTAAGTCATACGTATCAATCGGTTGTATTAAGCGGTTTTATTTATTGTAATAAGATGAGTTAATCAACTGAAGCTGCTCAAGAAGACCTTGAATCGTAAATTCGTCAGTTCTCTTTGATAATTCCGCTTTTCGGAAAGCTACTTCGAAATGTGATTAAATATTCCAAAAGCCTTTATTGAACAATACATAGCAAAAATAACATGAATAAAATGCAGAATCTCCCTCGATTAAAAAACATTTGGTAGTAATATATAGTAAATTTCTTTAAGCCTTTTATATTCGTGGTGACTCGGTTGAACAATGAGTAGGATATTAAAATCTGACCACTATAAAGCAGCTATGTCTTGAGCGGTCTCATCCTGACATCTTTAACATGACACGAACAGCGTTATCCCGAAAAAAATATGTTCGACTCACATCGATTTGTAACTTATATTTCATAAAGAATATCATTCCCATTTAAGTTGTTGTTTATCCTTAAACTTTAATAAAAGATATTAACAATAAATTGAAGATTTTTGTAGTATATCCTAGTGAGTTTAACCGCCTAAATCAAATACGTAAGATAAAAGAGGGGCGAAAGATATCAAAGGGACATTCAAACTCATAAGTCGAAAATAAACTGACAATGCCATGGATAAAAATAAAAAGACCAACAGACAAACAATAGTACACAAAACACAACATAGAAAACTAAAGACTGAGCAACATGAATCCCACGAAAACCTGGGGATGATCTCAGGTGCTCCGGAAGGGTAAAGATGAAATTCAAAACAGTTTTACCTATTGTGGAGTCATTGTCATTCGTGAGGTACCAATGTTCGTGGATTCAGTGGGTACAGGCGAACCACGATTTAAATTATTCAACGAATTACAAAATTATCTAGTCTAGGCTTGTGCGCAGACTTGGGCATAACCAAGAAATCAAATTTTCACGAAAATTAAAGTCCTCCTTAATTCACGAAAATTAAAACCCACGAAAATAAATGAATCCACAGAATATCTTATGAACCTCTTAAGAAAGTTTTGTGGATGATTTCTAATACTTTATGATTTTTAAGTTGAACTTTGCCTTATCATATGCATGGTTATTAACATGAATAATTTAAACTTATTTCATATTTTTAGGTGATTCATCGGGATTTACATACAACAATAACGCCGTATTCAGTACAAAAGATAAAGATACTACGAGCTGTACAAGTGGCCGACAGGGGGCATGGTGGTAAAAAGGCTGTACTTGGGTGAATCTTAATGGTCCATGGGTGCCAGGAACAAATTCTTGGGCTTCAATGATGTGGTACAGTTGGAAAAGCCAGGAAGGAATGAAAAAGACATCAATGAAACTTCGCAGAAAATAAAACCAACAGTTCATATGACTCTTGGTATCTACACTACGTGTTTTTATAGTTTTTTTTCACAGCAGGTGCTCTATTCATACACATACAGATTTGTAAATGACTGCAAGACGAATCTCCTGATTACGTGATATGTTTCCAACTTAGGTAAAAGCAACAAAAAATAGTTCACATAATTACTTGTAAATATGAAAATTTAAAAGAAATATAAAACTACACGGTATTATTAATGCTTTTTTTTATTCGATGCTAGAAAGAATATACATGACACAAATATAATTGACTAAACATCTCCCCTAAAAGCATTGTTATTAAGAAAACGTACGTACCCCACGATGAATGAAATAACTACTAGAATTATTATCTTTTAAAAAAGCAACTCTTAACGATCTATGTTTCTGAGATGGAAATAATTAGTACACATTTTTGTTTAGGGGCAGGCTGAAGCTCGCCTCCGGTTGCGGGATTTTCTCGCTGTGTTGAAGACCCATAGGTGGCTTTGGGCTGTTTTCTGCGCTTTGGTTGGATTGTTGTCTCTTTGACATATTCCCCGTTTCCATTCTCATTTTTTTTATTAACTTCATTAAATTATAATGTTCATGTTACATTGATGTCTATTTCACATTATTACTGATTTGAATCGTTCGTCTGGTTATTAGAAGAAATGTCGCAAAACCGACCTGGTCAACAATACCAGAATAAACTTTAATTTTGCCGAAATATAATAACCAACGGTTCTCTACTTTATCCAAAAATAATACCGTGCCATGGTGAAATAATTACTGCGATTTAACAAATTGTCTTGAATAAGTGGAAATATCGGTGGCATTTCCTAGCAGATGTACAGTATATCTATGGCAGACATTTCTGTGTTCATTCATCATAAAAAATGTACCTTACAAAAGGTTGATATATGCAAATCAAATATTTTGTTTGTATATACTAATATCTTAATAGTAGAACAGATAATAATATAACAATAAGGAGATGGGGTATGATTGCCAATGAGACAACTATCCACCAAAGTTATGTCAATGTTTATCTGAAACATACTGAGTTAAAAATCGATGCTAGACAAAATATACATGACACAAATATAATAGATTAAACATCTCCCTAAAAGCATTGTTATTAAGAAAACATATGTTCCCCACGATGAATGAAATAACTACTAGAAATTCGACTTTTTGTTGTCTATTTGTAAACATATTGTTTATTGATAGAAGGGATTTATTGACGGTGGCACTCTTTAAGGGAGAGGCGAGATATACCGAAGATGGTATATGTGATGGTGTGGTGCTGGGTCCCTAGCGGGAGGGATTGTCATTGATTTTCGTGAGATGAAGACGTAGTATTTCGGTCAGTTTGGTTGGGTCTGGGGCTGGCGTGTCGGTGGCTGCTGGTGGTCATTTGTTGATTTGTGTTGGTTGTTGTCGTTTTGCTTTGTTTCTTCTGTTGCCTGTAAGGGCGTTAGACTTCTTTTCTGCTGAGGTTTGCTGTGCGTGTTGCTGTTTGTTTGTTTGTTCCACATCGGCTTGATGTATAGGGGGAGGGTTGAGATCTCATAGGACATGTTTGGCCCCGCCGCATTTTTGCGTCTGTCCCATGTCAGGAACATCTGGCATTTGTTAGTCTTGTATGTTATATTAATTTTGGTTCATTTGTGTGTTTCGGAGTTTGGTGTGACGTTCATTTTTGCTAAACTGGTGTACATTATTGTTTATGGGCCGGATGAGGTCCGCCTCCGGGTACGAGATTTTCTCGCTGTGTTAAGGACCCATTGATGGCCGTGGGCTGTTGTCTGCTCTTTAGTAAGTTTGTTGTCTCTTTGACGCATTCCCCGTTTCCATTCTCAATTTTATCAAAGACATATTTAAACTCTTATGTCGTATACAAACTAACAACACAATGGCAAGAAAACGAAAAATAACCAAAGAAAAAAACAATAGTCTACAAAACACAACATAGAAAACTAAAACTGAGCAACAGGAACCCAACAATAAACCGATTCGGAAGGGTCATCAGATCATTCGTGTTGCTCATTAGGGTTAAACATTTGGTGATCAGTCTTATTCGATGATGTCACATGTGAGGGGAAAAGGACGGGATTGTGGTTACTACAATTTAAACATGTCCGTTGTCATCTGTGAAACTCGTGATGGTGTTAACTGCACCACTTGGAACCATTGATTTCATTGATTCCTTGTAAGCAAGCTCTAAGATATCGTATCAACTTGGAGATATATACTCTATATTCAGGCGCTGATTACATTTTGCTACATATAAATGAATAGTTCACTATGGGAAATTTTTGTCGAAAAGTTTCGTTCGTTATCGACCCTCACTTTCAATGTCTTGATATAAGTCAAGATTTTAGTCAGAATTAATATCTGTTGTATCTATTATTTCTTCAAGTTCGATGGGGTATATGTGTTAAGTACAGTCACAAAACTTTGAATTGTTTACTGAAAGCACATCGTCTATATAGCGGAACATGAAGTTAAAAAAAATAGTGCTAGCTTCTTTCCATTCTTCATAAGAAGCTACTTTATGTAGCCTGTCTCATATTAATAAAGGAACATGTCGACAAAAAGAGTAGCACATTTGTTTTACATGGGCATGACGATTTTGTTTTTAAAAAGACATCCTCCAAACGTAACTAATATGTTATCAATAAAGAAAGCACGCATCTCGATAATGTCAGTATATGAATAGAGGAACAAGTCGGCAAAAAGAGGAGCATAGTTGTTTTACATAGAAATGTCATTGTCTGTTGAAAACACGTCCTTTAAACGTCACAAATATGTTGTCAATCAAAACATGGAGCATCTTGCTAATGTCAAAACGTATTGATCAAGAGCGTAACTAATGAAGGTTTATCATGGATAACAGACTTTTGTGCCCAGAAATTATTAATTCCCTATTAAAACACAGTCATGTTATTGATGGAATCTATGGAATCTATGTAATTATGTGCGTGATTGCTTCCCACATGAGATCCCTGTATCATCGTCTTGATGTTGCAATGCCTGTTCTGGAAAATTTGAAATGTTTATAAATGAGATTCGGGCCGTCAACTGTTTTTTTTTTCTTCTGACGACTGATTTCCCCCAATGTTTAATATGTAAGAGATGGCAAATTTTCACAACCGTTTCATTTGTGTCTGTTCGTTCGTTTTCTCTGAAACAGAGGCAACATTGTACATTAAACACACATCGTACAACTAAGTCTTCTCTTCAAACAATTTTCAGAGATAACATTGACATTCAACCAACCATCGTACAACTTTGTCTTCTCATCAAACAATCTTCAGAGGTAACATTGTCCATCAATCACCCATCGTATAACTAAGTTTTATCATCAAACAATCTTCTGAGGTAACATTGTCCATCAACCACCCATCGTACAACTTAGTCTTATCATCAAACAATCTTCTGAGGTAACATTGTCCATCAACCACCCATCGTACAACTTAGTCTTATCATCAAACAATCTTCTGAGGTAACATTTTCCATCAACCACCCATCGTACAACTTAGTCTTATCATCAAACAATCTTCTGGGGTAACATTGTCCATCAACCACCCATCGTACAACTTAGTCTTATCATCAAACAATCTTCTGAGGTAACATTGTCCATCAACCACCCATCGTACAACTTAGTCTTATCATCAAACAATCTTCTGAGGTAACATTGTCCATCAACCAAACATCGTACAACTTAGTCTTATCATCAAACAATCTTCAGAGTTAACATTTTCCATTAACCACCCATCGTACAACTAAGTCTTATTATCAAACAATCTTCAGGGGTAACATTGTCCATCACCCAACCATCGTACAACTAACTCTTATTATCAAACAATCTTCTGAGGTAACATTGTCCATCAACCACCCATCGTACAAGTAAGTCTTATTATCAAACAATCTTCAGGGGTAGCGTTGTTCTTCAACCACCCATCGTACAACTTAGTCTTATCATCAAACAATCTTCAGGGGCAACATTGTCTATCAACCACCCATCGTACAACTTAGTCCTATCATCAAACAATCTTCTGAGGTAACATTGTCCATCAACCACCCATCGTACAACTTAGTCTTATCATCAAACAATCTTCTGAGGTAACATTGTCCATCAACCACCCATCGTACAACTAAGTCTTATTATCAAACAATCGTAAGGGGTAACGTTGTCTATCAAACACCCTTCGCACAACTTAGTCTTATCATCAACCAATTTTCAGAGGTAACATTGTCCATCATTCACTAATCGTACAACTTAGTCTTATCATCAACCAATCTTTAGAGTTATCATTGTCCATCAACCACCCATCGTACAATTAAGTCTTATTATCAAACAATCTTCTGAGGTAACATTGTCCATCAACCACCCATCGTACAACTAAGTCTTATTATCAAACAATCTTCTGAGGTAACATTGTCCATCAACCACCCATCGTACAACTAAATCTTATCATCAAACAATCTTCAGGGGTAACGTTGTTCTTCAACCACCCATCGTACAACTTAGTCTTATCATCAAACAATCTTCAGGGGTAAAATTGTCCATCAACCACCTATCGTACAACTTAGTCTTATCATCAAACAATGTTCTGAGGTAACATTGTCCATCAACCACCCATCGTACAACTTAGTCTTATCATCAAACAATCTTCTGAGGTAACATTGTCAATTAACCACCCATCGTACAACTAAGTCTTATTATCAAACAATCTTCAGGGGTAACGTTGTCCATCAACCACCCATCGTACAACTAAGTCTTATTATCAAACAATCTTCTGAGGTAACATTTTCCATTAACCACCCATCGTACAACTTAGTCTTATCATCAAACAATCTTCAGAGTTATCATTGTCCATCAACCACCCATCGTACAATTAAGTCTTA